TCCCACTGGGTTTGAATCTGGGACTCTCCACCATTTGACCTTAGAACTGAAGAAGCTTCTCGGATGAGAGGAGAAACGTCTTCAAGCAACTTAAAGAAGTCCAGACGCTTTTCTTTGCGAGCTCCTGTGACTACGATGACCTGGATGACTGAGAACCTTCACAGACGTGCTGATGGAATAATATTGTTTCTTTGTGTGTGTCTACCTCCAAGGTGTTCAACAGGATAGCTATAATGAGTCGTGGGGAGCTAGTATTTTGTGGACAAACAGAAGAGATGGTGGATTTCTTCAGCCAATGTGGATATGAGTGTCCAGAGTACTGCAACCCCTTTGACATCTATGGTACAGTATGACATGACCCAGCACACTGCACGGTGTTGTGTTTTTATTATAAGTCTTCTTTTTTTTTTTTTAAAGATGATTTTTCCATAGCTTGAACATTAAAAATTCAATTTGATGTCAAACAGTTGACTTCACCTCAGTGGACACACGCAGCAGCGAGAGGGAGGCAGCCACATTCACTCGCATGCATGAAATCACTTCAGCCTATCAGAGGTCTACCATCTACCAGATCATGCTGGAAAAAATGGAGCAGAGCTTGCAGAGATCAGACAAGCCCGCCATACCCTTTAAGAGCAAAGAGTCACCCAGCGGTGCTGCCAAACTTGGAGTTCTCCTCAGGTCAGTGTGCTTGTACACACCACCCATAAATCTCTATTTAAAACTGAAATATGATCACAATATTCCAGGTACAAATTACAAATATCACTTAGTGTGCTGCTTTATAAAAGACATGTAACATATACAGATTACTTCCATGCATCATGATGATTTTTTTGTAGGGTATCAGTAGGTAAAACATTTGCTCATTAATTTTGCCTTTCTGTGTTCTGTGTGCAGGCGCACAGTAAGAAACCTGTCCAGAGACAGGATGGGTGTTCTGATGCGTCTATCCCAGAACCTGATTTATGGTCTGTTTGTGGCCTTCTTCGTCATACATTTAGACATCGACGTCACTAAGGGTGCTGTGCAGGACCGCATCGGCATAATCTATCAGAGCATCGGTGCTTCACCATACACGGGCATGCTGAACGCCGTCGCTCTCTGTGAGTTCCGCCAATACCAAACATCTGCTCACCAGGATGAATTAGTACATTTACATTTGCACGTCCCAAACACCAGGATGCTGCCTGACAGTTTTATATATATAAAAAAAAGAGGAAGCTGGATAAAAACTTTGAGTCAGTAACTTGAAAACATGATTTTTTTCTTATTCAAAGACTAAATTAAAACATAACTCAGAAGCAGCTTTGCTCAGTGCTAGTACTGACTCTTGATTCAGGATAATGTTGGCTTCCTTCTCTTGGACAGACAGATCCAATGAAGAGCTAATAAAAGCAGTTTCAACACTTGGAATCAACTCCAGATTCCTTTATCCGCTTATAGAAAACACACACACACAGAGGGATTAGGTATCAATTAATTTTGAACTTCTGAAAATATCTCAAATTGACTTTAATTCCTAATCAGCTAAATGCAATACTCTTGTTCAAACCCTTGAATTAAAGCTGAATATCTGCACTTCAGTGACATCGTGACTAAATTGCACTGTTTGACCACTGTGGTGGTGTACCGAAACAAAATCACAAAAAATGTATCACTGTTTGAAAATGTATGGACTTAACTGTATAAAATGCTGAAAATAACAATTAGACAAGACAAAAGACAAAATGTGAATGTCGACTTTGTTGTCCATACATTCACTTAATCTATGTGACGTTACAGCACATCTCTGTACATGTTTCTAACAACACTTAATCCACATGAGGTGGATACTTGTTAATTCTGAGAAATGGATATGAAGCATGTTTATCACAGCTGTGTGTGAGGCCACTTCACTTATAAAATCACTTTAATTTCTTACTTACTTTTGTCACCTTTGGCAAAACTGTGTAAAGTCTAGCTTAATCTTGGATGTTAAAGATATGTAGACTATTGGAGATAAGAATACATGAAAGAAAAAATGTCTATTAGAAGACCGTGCATGAAGTCATACTTTAGTTGCTGAGGAGATCCTTCAGTTTACATATTTACATATTTGAAATGATCATTGGGTGTTCATGACCTTTAATCTGTTCAGAGCTCAAAAAGTAAGGTTAAGAAAAGGACAACAATCAATAGACAAAATAAAATACAACTATTTCCAAAAAGGCTCTATTGGAATGTGGGTTTCAGTGATAGGAATGGATGAATGAATCATCTTGGCTGTATTTCCTTACTGTCGGTGACACCCTTCGTCATTTACAAGGTTTTATCAAAACATAATAAAAATGTTCCAGTTCTTTCCAGATCTGACAGGTAGAAATAAACCTCAGATGAAAAACAACACTTGACATATCACACAGTGTCATCATATAGGCCAGAAAGCAGAAGCACTTTGTGAAAAATTGAGTACACCATGATTCAGTAGCTTGTAAAACCACCTTTAGCAGTCTTACTACATCAGTCTCTCACACGGAGGGATTTTTGAACACTCTTCTTTACAGCATTGCTTCAGTTCATTGAGGTTTGCAGGCATTTGTCTCTAGAGAGCCATTCTGTTAGAGATTTGCTGCTGAGCTTGGGATCATTGTCCTATTATTCTGTTAGCCAAGCTGTAGCTGTAAGACTGTCAGTCTGACTCAAACCAAATCAAATGCCCTCCACTCCCACAGCTGACAGTTAATAGGTGTTTGTGTGGATATGTTGTGTTTGGATTTCTCAGAATGTGACACTGTGCCTTACAGCCAAACATCTCCACCAAGGACATTGTTCCAGATGTCTCGTGGTGTCTTCAGCTGCAACTTTAAACCTACAGTACACTGTGCTGCCATGTAGAGAGAAGAGATTTTCCCCAGGAAACCCTTTTTAAACAAGCCATACTTGATCAGTCTACTTTTCTTTGTGTGCGCGTGTGTGTGTGTGTGTGTGTGTGTGTGTGTGTGTGTGTGTGTGTGTGTGTGTGTGTGTGTGTGCTGTCTTGAACGTAAACTTTTAACTATTTTATGCTAACCGGGCTCAGTAGAGTCTGAATTGCAGCTGTGGGGTTTTTTGCAGTTTCCATGAGCATAGAAAATAAATTTTGCTCCGACGTCCACTCCTGGGAAGGCTGCCAACTGTTTTGAACTCTTTCTCACTGTAGAATGATGTCTTTATAAGCCTATAATAATTACTTCTTAAAGATTATATCTAACATCTTTATTGTTTGGCATAGATAGGGATGATTGGACATGCTGATGTTTAATTAACTGTGTGATTTGATCATCAGCACCTACCTGCTACTTACCTCCTTAATTTCTTTGGCAGTAGTAAAGATGTACTTAGTTTTTCATGTACTGCTTCTGCATTTTGGTTTAGTTAATAATAACATGGTGCAATATGTCATCTGTTGTTTTTAATCTGCGCTTGTATTTACCTAATTTGGAGGACCAGATGATTTTTATTATGTCTTGATATATAAAACCTAAGAGAGTATACTTTCTCTTTCCTATGACTGTATCAACATAGTCTAAAATCTTGGCTTCAGGTCTCCAGCCCTCACAGACACTGAGGAGAACAGATGTGATAAACGATCGGGCTGAGCTGAAGTCAGCCTCTGTAAACACTCAAACAATCAGAGGTTGTGCTTGGGGATATCATTGTGACCTTCAGTCTCAGAGATAACAACTGATAGGATTCAATGAAAAGCTTTTTTTTTTTTTTTTTTTAAAGAAACAGGCCCATCAAGTTGTCTTGGTAAATTTTTGGCATAAAAACAAGAACACCTGAAATATGGAGCGATTGCAAAAATCCATAATCACCATCATCCTGTTAAAGGAAAGCCCTTTTGATATATTTTGTTTTCATATGCATGCTTTCAGTTATGAGACAATAGAAAAGAATGAACTGTTCATTATAATATGCAGATTTTAAAGTACTGGAACTGAATGAAATATGGAAAAGGTAAAACTCCACTTAAGAAATTTTTCTGGGTTTTGTACTCTTGAAATCATCATATTTTTTCCCAGTTTAATGCAAATTTAAAAACTGCAAGCAAAACAACATTAAGCCTCTTATACATACATGTGCATGTGCACAATCACTCAGCATTATTATATCCCTTGAATAATCAGTCTCAGATTTGGCAGGCATCAATATTTGACAGTATTCGTTTATCTAATTTATATCTATTAAATATAATAAAGTTATTCTTTAAAAAATAAAGGAATAGGGTCAGGGTTTGTTTTTTTCAGATTTGGTTGATTTTATATGGAATGGACCAGAAGTCACTTTTATCTTTTTTTGCACCCTTTCTGTTTTTATACTCACAGTCCCAGCATTGCGAGCCATCGGTGATCAGGAGAGTCAGGATGGACTCTACACTAAATGGCAAATGTTCTTGGCCTACATCTTCCACATCCTGCCCCTCAGCATCCTGAGTGTCTTCATCTTCACCTCCTTCCTTTACTGGTTGGTCATAAACTTGATGTGTTTTTGTGTTGGCGGTGGAAGAAGCAAATTTATCCACTCAAGGATTTTGGTTTCATAGTCATCAATGTCTCTCCTGTGTGTTTGTCTCTGCCTTGCTTTGCTCTCAGGACAGTGGGGATGCATCCGGAAGGTTTGCGCTTCCTGTGTTTCACTGCTGTAGTTCTGGTGCCGCATGTTATAGGTGAGCCAATTAAATAAAAGGGTAAAGTGCTATTTTGGGGGGCACAAATATGTTAAATGCATTTAATAGCCACGTTTCCACTTTCTTTATCTTTTAGCTGCACATATTCATATATTTGTTTGTTTTTTTCCACTCTCATCAGGTGAGTTGCTGACTGTGGTGCTACTAGGTGTGGTCCAAGACCCTAACATGGTCAACACTGGAGTGGCTCTACTCAATATTGCAGGGATAGTAGTGGGATCTGGCTTTTTAAGGTAAAATCCCAAATATGCTTAACTTTATGATGAGAAAACTTAGAATTTATTGAAAATGAAGGTATAATAATGCTAACTCTCAGGACATATGCTCACTTTCCTCTCCTCTTCTTTGCAACAGGAGCACCCAGCAGATGCCACAGGTCTTTCAGTGGCTCAGTTACCTGACTTTCCAGAAGTACAGCTGTGAGCTGCTCATAGTCACGGAGTTTCATGGTCTCCAGTTCACATGCAGTAAGTTCATTTTTAACATGGGACCATCCTATTCTAGAGGGAATGCTATTTTGTTAATTTGGCCAATATCTACACTATTCTGCGAGTAGTGTAGAGGATAAAGCAGGAAAGATCATTAGAAATAACTGATTTCAATTATCTGTCTTACATTTGATCTTTCTGCTATTGGTCCTTTTAAGACTGATTTATAAAGGATGGGTTCAGGATCAGTGGTCAAAGTCACTCAGCAGCACTTACAGTCATTTAGACTAAAAGGCACTTTCAGAAGATGAAATCTCTTAACACTTTTTTGTGTTTTTGTGATTACAGATAATTCCACATCTTTGCCGGGAGCTTGTGTGGTCACCCATGGTAATCAGATCATTGAGGAGGGTTATCCTGGCGCATTGTCCCGATACACACTAGACTTTGTTCTCCTCTACGCTTTCCTGCCTGCTCTGCTGCTGCTGGGCATAATTAGCTTTAAGATCAGGGACAAGGTTGTGCGTCACTAAGCCCACAAACACGGCTTTGTGGGTAAAATCTTCTTTTTAAGTTAAGCTTATAAAGCATTTATGTTATGAAATTCACTATTCAGAGATGACCTACACCCACCACTGTATTAGGTACACCGTACCCTTTTTGCTTTCTTGATAATAAAGGGATGGACATTTTCAGCAATACTCAACAGACTGTTTAAATGATGGCCACCTGGTAGCAGCCCAAAGTGTGCTAGGAAAATAAATTACACCACCAGCAACAAACTCAACCACTGATATAAGACAGGATTCATGTTTAGTTTTTGTTGCTGATTATGCCAAATGTTGACCCTACCATGCAAATGTCATAGCAGAAATTCAGACTTTTGGTGAGTTTGTGTGATTTGTACCCTCGGTTTCTCTTTTCTAAGCTGACTGGAGTGGCACATGATGCCACTGAAGCCCAATTGCTTTAAGGTTTGATGTGTTACGCATTCAGAGATGCACTTCTGCTTATCATAACGAGCGCTTTTTGAGTTACTGTTGCTTTCCTATCAGTTTGAGGCATTAGGACAATCAAAAAGCCATATTTTCTTTTTCAGAACATTCTCCTTAAACCCAAGAGATGGTTGCACTGGAAAAATCCTAGTAGATCAGCAGTTTTAGAAACGCTTCGACCTGCCTATCTGGCACCAACAACTATGTCATGATCAAAGTCACTTAAATCCTCTTTCTTTCAAATGCACGCTTTGAATTTCAATGTCTTACATTGTTACCACGTGATTATCAGATTAAACATTTGTGTTAAAGCACTTTAACAGGTATACCTAATAAAGTGGTAGTATAAGCACTTAGAATAAGTTTAAATGTTTACACTTGATGCACACAATGTAGTACAGCACGGTTTATCTCTGTTCACTGGGATGAAGCCATGCACATTAAAACACTTAAACATCTGCAGATGTTCTGTAAACTGCTTGAAACATGTTACCTGAAAAACGAGCATGTTTATGGCATGTACAGTTTTCTTGTGGTAACCTTAATCCTAGAACCACTGATGGCCGGGAAGAAAAAAACATAAATTTGTTTGTTTTGTTTGGAAGAACAAACATTATTATTGGTAAGCTAAAACTATATTTTTCTTGATTAAAATGTCAGCATTTATTTATGTAATTATAGAAAAGTACAACAGAAAATATAATACAAAAGTAAACAAATAGAATATATATACTCTATGTACATTATAACATGTTGTATGTGTGTAATAAAGCAGAAGATATCTCATGTCTCCAGCTCTAGACCTTTCCATGATTTCGCTGCATTCCTTTTATACTGCTCCAACTCCTGAAAAACAGACAGATGTAACACTTTTCACATATTACTGAGGCAATACAAGAAAATCAAAACAGTGCAGGTAAATGCAAAAACACACGCTACTGTGAAGAAATACTCAAGACTAAATCTGATGATGCAGATGAAGGAAGGTTCCACCAAAGGCAAACGTTTTCAATCTTGTTCTAATTTTACTGTTATAAATTTTAACATATAACATGCCAACTTTGGCGTATCGAGTTTGAGATGCAGCCCTCTGGTTTTTTCCAGCTGAACATTGCACGTCTGACCTTGTTTGACTCCAGGGACGACTGGCACACACCTGAATGCTCCACACTTCGAAAATGCCAAAACGTCTACGTCTACAGAGGCGCTCACACCTCAGAGCAGTACTGTGAAACCTTCTTTTTTTTATATCAGTGTAAATAACCACAAGATACTGAAGCCACTAAACTACAACAAATACACATTAACTAGGGGAAAACAACTATAGTTAATTAGCTTAAAACTCTTAAGATTGGTCTTTATTTGTATTCGTACTGAACTATGCATTTATACATTTTTACTTCGCAAACCTATCTCTAAATTCATTGTGTTGTCTCTCAAATAAAGAGGTCATTTCTGACTACCATGATCTGCTGAGATTCTTTTTAATCCAGACTAGAGGGTGCTGTCTAGAAAGGAGTTTCTCAAGACTTATTTGGAATTAACCTTTAGCCTGTTTTTCTATTGAGTTCTCAGACCACACAATGGCTGAGTGAAACGACGAGCGCCAGGTGAAAGTCAGTCAGCGATAACAGCCGGTGACTCCATCGGGTTACTGCAGTTCAAGTTCCAGAGTGGCACTATTGCAGGCAGGAATGAAGACAGCTAATCTCTAAGTTTATCACCACAGGATATAAAGTTACAGCCTGTTCATTTCAAGACAGAATCACTACTAGAAACAGACTACTAAAGGACAAAGTGTTACTTTGGAACATTAAACTTCTTTAAGATGTCGAATGAGTTTCTCCATTTGTATATTTTGTACAGCGTACACAGTTTTTAACTCTGTTACCCACGCCAAACAGGCCATGTCATTCGATTGATTTGTCTGTTTGTTTAGCGATGTTTCTTTGTTTAGCTATGCAGGATTACTCAGAATGTTATATGAACAGATTTGCATTGAATTTTTACCACAGCCTCGAACGCAACAATACAAATCTGGATTTGGATGCAGGAATTTTTGGGGGATATTTTACTATTGGGAGATGGAAAAATTAGACATCACATGATATCTTTGCAAATTCATATAAAATTGAAATAAGGAAAATCGGATAATGTCAAACTGAACTGAAGTCAGATATCCTTCTGGATCCAGAGACTGAAGTCCTTCTGTCATTTCGACCTTGCAATTTCAGACTGCCCTTAATAGTGTTTAAAAAAAGAAATATACAATATATTTTTATTCTGACTATTAATATATTATATATTAATTAGCTTTTGTAACTTTGTATCCCACGAGCTTGTCATTTTAAGCAGGGTTATTATTTTATAAACACACATATCTTAACAGCCTCTTTTATCTGGGCTGCCATTATGTCTAATCCCTTTATCAAACGAAACTGTGCTATGTCACAGAAACTTATCTTCTTCATTTTGCGTTAAATGCTTTAGTGATTTATTATCTTCCTAAATACTTGCTACCCCTCAGAAGGAGGACAAAAGTCAGGGTCACGAATCTGAGATAAGTGAATGGGAATTCTGATTACCACTGATTAACCACCGTACTGCCAACTCATGAGTCAAGAGACTTGACTGCAGTAGGTCTGTCAAAATAAATGCAATGCAAACACGTATATAATGTATTACCTGGTCTTTCTGGGCTCTCATGGCATCAATCTGAGGCTCACTGTACTGGGGATCTTTGGCTGGATCCTTTAGCTCTCTCTGCTCATTTGTACTCTGCAATGACAAAGTTGGTTAGACGAACAGATGCTTTTAAATCATGCAAAAGAAAAAGTAGTTTGTCTACATAAGTTGGATTTTGCAGAAGACAAACATGTTGCCAGAAGCTTAACTACCTCTGGGGGGAAGACACGCTCATACACTTTCTTCCAGAGGTCTTTTGGATTTTTAGCATGGAGAGACGTTATATCCACATCGACAGTAGGTGGGGAACCTATATTAACAGATTTTAAATAAAATATCACACCAAATGTTAAATAAAGGAGGGTGGATTTAAAGGAGATGTTTTGTTTCATCACAGAGTTTTGTAGTTTATTCAAAACTTGAAGACATTTCTACTTTTGGCTACTGGGGGGCGCTGTGCTCACCTATTTGACCGAAGGAATCAGAGCCTGCCGGAATGATGAGCGGCTTGAGGGGGTCAGAGGAAACAGTTTTCCTGATTACAGAAAAAAAGAACAAGAAAAACAGTATTACAGCTAAAACATTAACCAACAGACCCCTAACATAGACAGCATTTTACATTTTTTTTGAAATACTCAATGAGAGCAACACACATATTCCCTTCTAGAAACAATGACAGTTGTTTGTAAGTAGCAGCCATGCTCCTTTAAATGCAATATCTAATACCTCCATCATAAACAAAGGTAAAGATTATAGACTTCTGAGTGTGTATATCTATCTGGAGCTGTCCCATCACATGATTATATAACTAAAGTGAATATCCTAAGCTCACACTGTTTATGAAAACCTGTTCTATATCATACAATTTTTATACAGTACAAAAATGTAAATAAATCTGCAATGAGACTGTGAAATCTAGTATTATCAAGCATTAGTGGTAACATTAAAGTAACTCTATTGACACTATAATCTAAAATGAAAGCCCATGCCCATTACTGCTTTGTGTTCAATGTTGCTTTATCCTCCTCACCCTCTCTCCAAACTGAAAGCCAGGTGCAAGAAGAAGCTCTTGGTTTTTGATATAAGGCTCTCTGATTTGATGCTAGTGAACTAATCAAAGCATTAGGAGACACAAACACAAATACAAAGCGGTGGTTAGAGACAGCAAACCATAAGAAATATATGAAAAAGTGCAAAATTATTTGTTAAATACAAATGTGCTGCAGGAGCATTAAAAACATTCTTACAACGAGAGAGGCCGCGTAGTAATGAGCAATAAAACGCAGTGTTTTACTGACAACTTTCTTCTTGTCAGAGTCAAATTCCTGAAAAGCAGATGGGAAAATTGGAAATCTTATATACAAATATTACTGAAATTCATGATCTAATAATAATTCTGTGTACGTGTCTTTTTTTAATAAATCATTTAAAAAGAGTACAAACACTGTGTTTTACCTGGAAGATGTCGTACTTGCTCCCGATGATGAGCAGAGGAACAGGAAAGGGACTGATCAACTCTCTGTCCTGCTGACAGAATCACAGTTAACTCTGGAAACAGCACCAGCCTTACACACTTTTACACTTTTAGTTGAGATTTGCTTTTTGTTCCCTCTGACAATAAAATATCTATTTTCTTGGTTGCATTTGTCAGGTCGACGCACATTTTACTTTGTGACATTTGAGTGTTTAAAAAGCCAGAGGCATGAGTAGTTCATGTAAACACTTTAAATATGCAACTTGTTACGGATGCCTCAGTGCACCAGCACATTTACCCATTGATGACTGTTTTTTTTATCATCCTTATTAATCTGCAGTCTCTTTGTGCTGCATCCCTTGTGCTGATCGACTGTAGAGGCTCACCTGTATCAACATAAACCCTGAGGAGGCAGAGCTGCCTTTTCCCTCAGTGCTTTTTACAGTCTATTATGTATTAGCTGAGATGGAAGTTACTTGTGATCCTGTTCTTGGTTACATTAATTTAGTCTAACGATATTGATATTATTAGATAATAAATGGTTAAAGAAATTTGCTTCATCTCACATGTTGAGTTTCTTTGAGTCGTGGATTTAGAAATTGTAACACAGCTATAAAATTGCTGTAATACAAACTGTATGTGTAATGAGACAAGGTCTTACAGGATAGTCTTTAGGTAAGACACGTGCTGCTGAGTGGCTGGGAGTCTGGTGTTTGACTCCGGGTTTGGATTTCTGTACTTGGGAGGAGGTTCTCTCTAGGTGAGCCTGTGCAGCCTGCAGTAGCTTCTCCATCGTTCCCCACAGAGCGTTGGGTTTAGACAGGTCCAGGACGAGGATGACTGAGAGACAGCTGAACAAGACAGGAAAGGAAAGATGGCTTTCCTCTGAGGTTCAGACCAAGAAAACATTCTTCTTCTCTACTGACATGACATTGCTGTTCAAGAGATTCAGATTTTAAAGATACAAATAATAATCTGAACAGAAAAGATAAATAACATAATTCACACTGTGAATGTGTCAAATACTGACCCCTATTCAAAAGCAGGATGTTTGTAAGAGACCTACCTGATGGTGACAGGAGTGATGGGGATCTGGACGAGGTCTGACAAAGAGGTCCCTCCTCCCAGCTCCCATAGATGGGCTATGTCTTTAGGCTGAAAGAAGTATATAACAGTTTTATCTTGAAGTTACATAAACATCCAGTGCAACCCTAACCCTCTATGGCTTGTTCCACATTTCAGCTGCATTTAATACCAAGAACTAAAATATTTACTTGCATAATGAGCACATCCTGCCACATAAGTACACTAAACGTACTCTCTAATGTGGTCACTGTGCTGAAACACTGGAAGGAAGTTCCTTCCTACTAACGCAAATAAAACATATACAGCATAAGGTGTATAACCACATTTGTCTTCTCATTTTTAAGAGACTAAAGCAAAGTGTCCAAGACTAAAAGGATTTACTTACCGTGTTGTGTCCTCGTGCTCGTCTGCCAAAAGTGTACTCCAAGGCCAGAGTTGGTTTGGATAGTTCATCTCTAGTAGACAAAAAAAAAAAGTGTGTTTATACAAAGTATGATGTCATGAAACTAACTTGTGCTTTTGGTTAAATATTTTACAGTACCTCATTCGTGTGTTTTCTCTAGATCAGCAGAGACACACTACACTTCCTTCTGGCCTTCTCTGTATTTCTCCATTAACACTCTCAAAGCAAACGGTACATCTGTAGAGGTCGTTCTAGACATGAGCCACACTGCTGCTCACCAACCATCACCCCGTTTCCCAAACAAAGCTTAAACTCTTTCCCATATCTTCATGGTATGTCTTAACAACTCTATCCCTCTGTTGTCACTACAGCTCTGCACATCATGCTTGTTCTTGAAAATCACTACACTTCTTTTCCATTCCTCAGGCATCCTCTCACTCTTCAAGAGTCCACTCTTAGCTCACAGCTGCCATCACTTCCTCCTTACTGAACTGTCCTCCTCTCTCTCATGTTCTTCATTCATTAGCTCTTCAAACTACTTCATCTTCTCAACAGCCTCTCATCATTCATTAGTACACTTCCTTCCAGCTCAATCTTGCCGCCAAGCTAATTTTCTTTCCTTAGTGCCGAGCCTCACATAAGCCTTTCCTTATGTGAGGCAGATCTACATGCTTTCCCAAATTTTTATTTGTTAACCCCTCCCTTTGAATAATTGCCAGCACTCCCTCATCCCACCACCAGGTACTCCTTGTTTTCCTTTCTTATGTCAATAGGATACACCAAATACTTTCTTGGCAATCTCCCTAAACACTTCAGCCATATAAAAGCTTTGCCAAATATTGACTGTAAAAGGATCAGCTTTAGCTTTCGTGTTTCACTTTGCATGGTGTAAACTGCCCCTGCAATGGGTCTGAATAGTGAATATGAAGAGGGGTTTAGAGCACTCTAGTCTGCCCGGGCATCATCATACCAACCTGTCCAAGCACCTGAGGAGAATGGACGTTTTGCCCTAAAAAATAAACGGATGTGAGTTTACGCAGTACAGTAACAAGATACAAGCGCTTCCGTGTGAAATCAATGACACACACACCCCAGCTTTGCTCCCCATCAGAAGCACCGTCCGCTCGTTCACAGCCTCTCCACCGTCCCTGTCCTCTGCACCTCCGCTCTCCCGGCTGTGGACCTCCGCCGCAGCCAGCTCCCATAATGTGTCCGAGCTGACCCATACGAGACGAGTCGGTCGACAGATATTATTATTACTGTTATCACAGTAAACAGTTATAATGATAAAATAAAGTAATTCTCACCTTATTTTTGGCATCGAGCTCGATGGTTAGCGAAGGCTACACAGCTAATAGGAAGGCTAACCGTTATAAACGTTGCCAAAGCAACAGCGCGTTTTGATGACGTAACCACCTTATGTTTTAATGGACATTGTGGGATATGTAGTTTTACGCAGACAGACTATAAACTTGTAAAATACATTTCCATATTGTCATATCTACAATCTGCTATATGCCAACAATGTTTTAAATTAAGGTATCCTTTATTACAGATATATTTCACACAGAGGTTTTTACAAAGGTTTTCAAAGATAATTCTTTTTGTGGCTTTAAAGCAGAGCTGATTCTTGTTGTCTGTGGTTGTAACAGCAAATTAAGTCTGGGACACTCTGGAAATACTTGTAGTTAATCAGATAACAGTTTACATTTTTTACAGTACCAGCAAATTAATATTTTCCCCTTGTTTGATTCAATCATATGAAGAAGCCAGCAGATAATGTTTCAGTTCCATTTCATAACATGCTGTACACGAAATGACACGATCCAGTTTTCCCAGCACAGATTCCTTGAAACAGAACGAAGTAGATCCTTGCTGAATCAAAAGTGTTGAGATGATCTTATATTTTATTATTTTTTTAATGTTCCTTCTATAAAGCCAAACTGAAGATGAAAAGGCAACAAATGATATATAGTCTCTTTCCTGGTGATCATGAAGTTATCAAATGGTTTGTCACGACTTTTCCCTTGGTTTGTCACAATAGGGGACGTTTTCTAGCAGAAGGTCATTTCTGGGCCGAAGCACTGAGAATGAGGAGAAAAAAAACAAAAAACAAAAAACACAATCGTATCATTAGAGGAAAAAAAATCATTAGCAAGTATATACATTATGATACTTGATGTATGAGTAATCTTTGCATGCACATGCTACTTCCTTAATAAAAAGAAGAAAAAAAAAAAAAAGACAAATCATGTCATACACAGCTTATCTTCTGCTACGTGTTCCATTTGCACCACACTCTGTCGAAGGACGATGTCCACGTCTGAGCCCATTTTAATCAGCTATAAAAAAAAAAAAAAGTAAAAGTAGAAGTGAAATAAAGTCAATTTTATTTTCAAATATCAAAATGCTTCACAGTACCTTCTGGATGTTTTCTTCTGACGTTTCATTTTTGTTTTTCCGAAACTCCTCATTGA